CTTGTATACTTTCTCTCTCCATTCTCGTTCCTCCGGTAGAAACTACCATTGCCATTGCAGCGGCAATGGAATTCAACCATGAAAATGGTCCACATCCATGAAATCAAGATCAAAAGACAAAAGACTACAACAACAGTGTTCCCATCTAAACAGTACCTTAGAGATAATCAGACAGACTCACAGTGTCTGTCCCCAACAGTTGTTTTAAATTAAAGCATGAGAATCACTTCATGTTACTTTGTGCAACTTTGCTTACACTATTTTCTTTTTCATGACATCCTATTTACCCTTAGTGTCCCATATGGAGCAATAGGGACAAATGTGCTTAATTTTATCAAACAACAGAATAACGAACTGAAGAACAGGGAAAACATACAAGATCAGACTGCTGCATCCCACATCTAAATCAACTGTAAAGTCAAAGCATTCCTGCCATTCCAAACCCTTCCTATCTCCAAGCTCTGCCATGCTTCATTTTCTCACTATAATTCTCATCTTTATCCAAACATTAGTCTTTCTAAATGGAAAAAAACAGAGGAAAACTTCTGCAGTAATGAGTTCTTAAAAAGTTGTTCTAAAGCTAGCAATCTGTTAAAAAAAACCCAAACAAACCTAAAAGAGTGTTTTTGGAACAGTTGGCACCATCTGTTTAATAAAAAAAAAAAAGGGAAAAAATTACTGTAGTTAGCATAAGCGTTGCTTAACTCAGCAGATCAGCAAGTAAGTGAAAACCCTACCAATTTATATTTAAATAAAACATGAATTATCTGGATTTTGCCAGGGATAAATAGACTGTGACACTGTAATGTGCAACTACTTCTGATAGTACCCTTTAATGCATATTTCTTTATTTCTCAGCGTCTCATAGGTACTCAAAAAATACTTAGCCACAAACCACATTTAATTCCCAAACTCTGTGGTGAGAGCCAAGTAAACACATTACGAACTGGGCATCTGCTTACCCAAGACCAACACATGGCATTTATAATTTTGCCAGTTCCTTTACTAACATACCCAAACAGATGCCAAAGGAAGTAATCCAAAGACTTCTCAGGCAACGGGAATGAATTGGTCTTATTCAGAGGCAAAGCATTAAAAAATCACCTCATGCATGACACAAACATAAAAACATGGTGCTAAGCTTTACAATGCATAGGAGGGGTAAAAAGAAATGTTAAGGCAGCAATACAGATGCTCAGAATTAGAAACAGGAACCTCTTACACACATTGTCAGCTGTTACCAGCTTCTCTGGTCCAAGAGCACAAGTGGACTGTTTTGTCTCCCAGTGACAAAAGAGCTGGGTGCCACCAGTCCCTCTTCTGTCAGCAACCTAAATACTGAACTCACTGGCAATCAATGCATCCTGTAAGGTGTGCTTGATCCACCAAATTATTTTGGCTTTGCTATTAAAATGACCAAAACTCAAATGCTGACAAAGCCAGACTGCTCTCCCAAACACAGGCTCACAGCGTATTCCGTGATGCCAGGCAAGATTCTGTAAGTGTAACAAAAACGCAGAATAGCTGGGAAAACAGGAAAACCTGGATAATACAGATAGCACCGATGTGCTTGAAAAACATGTTGCAGACACATTTGTGTTGACCTGCCATCCCCCAAGGTCCAAAATGCTGCTGTTGACACTACACTGAAATAAGCCTTGTGAAACTCACCATGCTGGAGATCCAGGTCAGCACATTTCACACACAAACATTTATGTCCATCAGGTCCAGCACTAAACCTGAGGTAGTGTGCCTAAGCAGACCTGTGGTGACACCATCCAGTCCAGCATGCCAAATCTAGGAGAACCTTCTTTGTTCAAGCTCAGTGCAGCAGGAATGTTTCTGGACTCCAGCTAGTCCTGATGACAGCTTACATGCCACTGCACCTAAGCTAATCAACCATACCAACTAATAAATTAGCTAATAAGGCTTGCTGGAACTGACTACACATCTATGGCCTGACTTGCTCACTAAACTAACCAGATAAAGCCCTCGGGGGAGCTGGTGGGTGGTGGTGGAGGTCACTAGACTGTAAGCAATGTTTTAATCTTTTAGATTTCATGCCTGATCAGATTAGCCATGGCTAATGGTCCCTGCAGCCTTTTCTTCCTGGCCCTAAGAATATCAGAGTGCTCCTAATACAGGGTGACTACAGGGAATTCATATGTTGCATCAACACAGTAAACATTCCAAAATTCAATAAATTAAACCAATAAGTAGAGAGTAGAAGTTTGTACTGATTCACTCAGGACTGTAGATGATGTTACATCACCTTGATGAAGACAGAAAACCATGATGTGAAACAGCTCCAGCATCAAACTTCACTGACTGTGCTGACCTGTGGCATCAACTTCTGATGTTGTCTGCTCCAAACCTCTAAGTGAACGCTCATCAAAGCAAGCAGACAAAAAAACCTGAACTTTGTTGTAAGTCCAGACACTGCCCAATGGTCTGACCCTGCATACACAGAGGAGCAGTGGAAAAGGCTATCCATCAAAAGGAAACTGAAGTCTGGCTGGAGGGGATGGCATACGTTCAGAAAGAGAAGGGCTCAATTTTACTGCCACTGGTGCACATTCAAGTAGGTGGGAGAAGCCTTGAAGGTCAGGTTTTATTAATGTGTGAACAGAGATTAGCCTCTGCATCATCCCAACTGCATTCCAACAATCCATTTTTCCTGTTTTCTTTTGAGATTGCTAGCACACAAAACCCAACTCATTTTCTCCTCTGTAATTTCATTTATCCTTTTTTTTTTGGACATATTTTCCATTTGAAAGACTCACATTCAAAATGTCAGAGTATTTACAGATTAGCAATGCAACATGGAAGAGAAGATATCTAGAAAAATGAAGGGAGAAAACAAATTCATAAGTACCTGACAGCTGAATAAGTCATGTCACCGAATCTTGCACTGAGCATAATTTCAAATATCTCTTTTCATTTCACTGTATTTTTAAAGAAACGTTTGATAATGCATCAATACAGCTTAAAATAAAATAATAATAAAAAAAGATACTTAAATTTTAGGTCTAAAGGAACTTCCAATTAAAAACAGCAGTGGAGACATTTTATTGTGGAACTTCAGTCAATGATTCCATAATAACTCTGAAAAATAAGTACTCTTTATAAAAAAAAAAAAAAAGACCAAAAAGCTGATAAAAAATTATAATACATATTCAAACTTTACCTTTTGACTCCTGGTAATAATATTCTGTCTTCTATGCAGATGCTGCCTATATGGGATCACAGTAAATCAAGCACATTTGACCTACCGAGCTTAACATGACTGTAAGTGAATCTCACAGCCAGGAATGCAGGACTTATGATGCTGCAGCCCTGATTGATAACTAAGAAGTCAGTTATAAATAAATCTGGAACAGTTGGGATTGACTGTTGTTTAGCACTTTCAGGCAGACGTTCAGGGTAACTGGCAGGGGCTTTGAAAGCTGTTTCCTATATTAGAACCATGACAAAAATAGAAGTGAGGCTGCATTCCCTTGTCTTCTGCTAAAATAGATCTTACTCAAATACATTTTTACAAGTTTGACAGGGCATAACTAGCCCACAGTCAGATACAGAAAAAAATCAAAATTGGAAGTCCCATGTTGATCTACCATGAGTAGTTGCTTATTGAACTATTAAGAGCAAAAAAAGAATAAAAGGAGGAAAAAAAGTGCAGCATATTAAGGGATATTAAGGACAAGGAGAAGTTGGCCTTGCTACATTTTATTTTTAAACTTAGAGGTGAAGGTACAATCAGAATTCACCAGCCAAAAAGACCCTAAAGACCTTTAAAAATAACATAAAAGGGGAAAATCATACATTTTACCAACTGTCCTTAGGAATACATGGCAGGGAGATTGAGGTTTGGGGTGTTTTGTTGCTGGTTTTGGGGTTATTTGTTTTGGTTTTAAATTCAAGAACAGATGTTGCATAATAACTACTGACAGCAAGCTTGAGTGGTGAGAATGGAACAGGAAAGAGGAAGCATGTATTGGTTTCTGTTCTGTTTTTAAGTGTCCCAAATACTGTTTACAGGGCAAGCATTTGTCACAGCAATTAAGCCTCCAGCAATTAAGCTTCCAAATAAATTAAGTTGGCTTTTATTTGTGTGTTTTAACAGTCAAAATGTATATATCAAAATATTGTAGGATTAGCTAGTTCACTGACTAAACGGGCTATTGTTCTGCCAAAATAATCAGTGGCTTTAATGAGCAATTAACAGCTTTCAGGGTCAGTGAGAACAGAAAATCTTAACATGTACATAAGAAATTTTGTGTATGACTTCCTGCTACTGTTTCAGATCTCGAGTGAACTCGCAAACTAAATGCAAGAAGCATGTGTGATTGAGAGTAGAATGTATATAGTATAATACACAACCAGAGCAGTTTGATTTAGCCAAGTAATTCTCCCAAACGGGTTTCCCATGAACTGTTCTTTCTCAACCAAAACAGGTCTGCGTTATGTTTTGCTGACAGATATGAGATTGCTCCCCCTGCACACACTCTAAACCACTCTGAACCAAACCAGCTCCATCCTCGAATCCCGGTGTCCGTGGTGCCTGATCCCAGCCTGCTCTCTCTCAGCAGAGCTCGTGCTTCAGTGCCCAGTGAGCCCTGACACAGAGCTTGTGGTTCCAAGCAGGATCACAGCTCCTTGAGTCAGAACACACACAGTGACTTCCAGCTTTTACTCCTGTGAGTTCTGCAATGTGCAAACTGCAACAGAATCAGCACTAGGAAATTTCTGCAACTTGCCTTCCGCCTAGTATAAATTAAGGCATAATCCAAGGACTCGAGGGGTGTTCACACAGACGAGCACATTTCAGTAACCAAATTGTGATTTTTTTTTCCATCATGACAATGGTTGAAAATACGCTTGTTGAAAGACAGCAAATTCATCACAAAGAGTCAAATCTTTGCTTTGTAATGGATTGCTACAACGCAGACATAATTTCCTTTTACCAAAGAGCCTGCACAAATGTATTTTAAACTAATTACCTTTAGGTGGAAAATATGACTTGCTTTCAGCTTTGTGAGGCCAGTCCACCACAAGAGGTCCAAACCTACGAAAGCTGGCAGTGATCTCATCTACAAAAAACAAATGAGGCACCTTAGAGAGAATGTGAAGACTGACACAGCAAGGCAAAAAGTCTGACTTAAAACAAAACAAAACTTCCTGTTTTCTACACTCGTTAAGAAGTGAAAACTGCAATAATGTCCACAGAGGATGCCTAAATATTCTTTCTTTTCTATGCTACACATGGCTGCTTAAAAAAGTAATTTTATATTCTACTAATGGAAGTTTGCAGCAGGATTAAATGCAAACATGATCTATCAGAAGTGAATATGCTTCAGCTGCCATCTATGTCTAATTATAGCCACAAAGCAGGGTCAGACGCAGCCACACGGGGCTGACAGAGGAGCTCCGTGTCAGCACAGCCGCTCCTTCGGCGTGCCCTAGAAAGCAGGCGGCAGCAGGGCATGCGGCTGCGGGGATCTCACCTTCCTCAGTCCCCTCAGGAAATCGCCCTTGAATGCCACGTTATTTCTTCGCTTTTTAAGCATCAATTTAGAAACACCATGGAACACACATCACGAACTACCCTAAACGACAATTTTGTTTTACGTGCAAATGCTCCAGGAAGTATTTAAAGTAATTTTAAAAAAATTATTGTTTTTTCTCCATACCTTTTAAAATTTACTTTAAAGAAAGAATTAGTTTATATCTAATTATGCTAGATAGATCAGAGCAACAAGCCATCTGGAGAAAATGGGATTTCCAATTTTTGGATTGCTGTTTGAGATCTTTCTCTGATCCCATGAGTTGCAAGCCAGATTTTTCAAGCAACTAGAGAAAACAAAACACATACTGTATACCTGAGGAGCTGAAAAAAAAAGCGTTACTGAAGGAGACCTCTCATGAAAGAGGATGACAGCTCCCAGGTGGCCGTGTTACTTCCTCACAAGACAGGCAGGGCATATATTTTGACTGAGTGACCCAGCAATGTTCACATCAGTTGTACCTGTTGGCCTGCTTCTTCTCATAGCTGGAGATTCAGATTACCCAGCAGACCCTTTATCAACAGCCCTGCAACTCATGATGTGACATAGGAACCACATTTGAGTTGTTTGCAAATCATAGATTGGCAACTCATAGTATTTCTTTATTAAAACTGTACATGGCTTGGACTTCAGTGCAGTAGATCAGATTCAGATATCCCTCTTTTAATAATAAGGCATCCCTTTGTATGCCCATTGAAGCTGGATAGTGGTGGATTCCAGATATAATATAATATGAAAAATACACGAAAACTGCCATGATTTTGGTTTGGGAGTAAAGGTTTGTGGGGGTACACACAAGTGGAGCAGATATCGAGAAAAACCCTAACCACCTCTAATAAGCTGGCTCCTATTTTGTAACCATATTATTGTCCTACATTTGTCACCTGAGCCCTACATATATGCTGGCTATAAGAGCTGATTAATTAAAGCCCAATGTATTTTGGAAAGAACTGTATTAACAAGGTCCTTAAAGTCAACCACATCCAAGAATAGGAAAAGACTATGGAAGAGAGACAGTAACCACTGAGTTCCCTTTTTCAGCTTGCCCACCTTACAGCTGTGGGAAGGCATGCAGATTAAAAGACCTGCTATGCAGCCATTTCTCTCTCCATCTCTTCTGATCTACAGTACAAATGCATGTCAAGTAAATTCGCAGGTGCTGCAGTTGATGGTAGTGTGTGTTTGTTTTAAATAATATCACAAACACTAAAAGCAACACACCCGGGAAAATACATTTCTTTTCATTAAAATCTGACTTTGTTATAGTAATTATATGAAAGCCAATTCCTACATCTCACCAGTGTAACTTATTCACGGTACCTTCATCAATGTCAGGAGGGAGACCTCCAACAAACACCTTTCTAGAATAGCGTTCCACTCTTTCACCGTTTTGACAGCGCGTTGGAGAGCTGAGACCCGACGATAAAGACTGATCCCCATGACTGTCGTCTAGGAAGCCATCTTCAAAAGGAAAGAGTGAAGACCGACCTGTAACAGATTTTGTAGCATCTATAGTTAACACTGTTTCCCAGAGAATTAAATACTTTAGGGAAAAAAAAGTTAGCTCTTCCTTTTTTACTGTAACAGAATTTGCATTAAAGGGCCCAACTAAGTGGTCAGGTGTCCAAATGATGTTCATCAGTATTGCTTCTATTTTTCCAAGGGTGTGTTACTCTTACAAAACAATAAACCTAATTTACCTTTAAACCAAACCCTTGCAAATGGCTAGCAACAAAACCAACAAGCTATCTGATGAAATTGTGTGTCATCATTATAGAAAGAACCTTTGCAACATTTGCATTTCATATCAATTCTTAAGAGATTTAAACCTCCCATAACAGATCTTCCAGGAATGATCTCAAGAGCAGATCCCTCAAGTCACTGCACACTTTGGAGAGCTTTACAGGGTCCTAACAACAAGGACTGGAGCACATCCACCTCAAGGGAACAGAGGCCCACACTGGGTAGGGGCACAAACAGCAAAACAAACCTGGAAAAACTTTGGATTGTGGATATTAAACACATAAAAGAAACCTGACTAACAGGAAAAAAAATCTTGCTAAATAAACCACAAAGAACTTGCACTTAAAGAAAAAAGTTGTTAGCTGGAACAGCCTGTCAGACTGTGTTTGTTACTCAGTGTTAAAACATCCTTTCAGTGATGAATGAGTAAAATCAACATAAACGGCTGCTACTCAGCTTGTTAATGAAAAGTAAAGAATTTATCTGTGATCATCAGATGGATTTAATTTGTTGCTAGTACTACAAAGGCATACACACATTATTTTAACAGATTTATTAACAGAGAAGATAAAAAAGTTCACTCTGCATATAAGCAACACTGTAGAACACGCCAACTTCAGAATTTAATAATTCCCTATACCTGAGCTGAAAATTAAGTCCTGCAATATAGAGAGATGGGAACCCCACCTCAACTCTGAAAAGGCTAATTGTCCACTCATTTCATGGAGGCTTGTTCCTAGGGATGGAACTATAATTAATGGATACAAACAGTTTATTAAGGGGTTGATTACAAATATAAATAACAGGGCACATAACTAAATTCAAAGGTAATGGATCACATACAACTGACTTCCAGCAAGACCTAAGGATTAATGCCACACCTGGTAGTAACAGCACAGGGAAGTACAGGAAACAAAAAGAGGGGTAAGGAAGAAAGTCAAGACAGTGGGAGTCTAGTCAGAAAAATGTATATACTGAAAATACCACTAATAGTCTCCAGTACTAAAGGACAGATTACAAAAAGAAGCAGTAATCCTACATATGGAAAACCAACGTAAAAAAAAGAACAGGAAATATGTTCTGAATGGCACAAAACACCAGCCTGAATTTTTTATGAACACCAAACACTAGAAAAGCCTTGATTAGAAAAAAATATATTGAATATTAAACATAGACAGAGATCACAGACACAAAAATCTACTGAACCAAAATTCCCACTGTACTTTTACACATCAACATTGTCATGGGTCCATAAAAACCAGTGTAAATGCCACAGTCAGAGAAGGATTTAGAGATACTTCCCTTCAGAGTCTTGTCAGAAATGGTGGGTTTAGAGCATAAGACAGGAAAGACTATTGATGCATATTCCATTAATGGACAAACAGGTCATGCACATGTATAAACATATGCATTTCAACATAAAAGAGAACACGTGCATGAGAGAAAAAAAATTAGGAATAGTACAACTGTGTAAAAATATCAAATCAGAAAACCCATTGAAAGGAAGGAAATTTGAAAACATATGTGAGAGACTGACATTACTAAGGAGCTAAATAACCTTTTAATTCCTGTCCATCAACCTACCTTCTTGTAAAATGAAACAACCATGATCCATTAGTGCGAGGTGACATACCAAATTAATAAACACTAGAACAAGGTGTTCAACTAAAATACAGGTTTGTAGAGGTCACGCAGTGCTGAGTTCTGAAGGGAATAATAAAAATTCACAGCAGCTTAGAAATCAAGGTATCACCTCTTATGCTGGATGCTTGACAGTCTACAAGCACTGTACTCACCTTATAAAAATGCAAACGATGTTCTAAAACTTTATGTTTAAGTCAAGGACAGAGATAAATTTATGGAAAACATACAAGGGAATAGTAACGACTGTTCACTGCCTTGTCCAGTAAGGGAAAAAGTAACGTGTATTGAACACAATCAGTACATGGCAAGGCTGTAAGGCAAACTCTGGAACCCCTTGCCAGAGGCTTTTTGGGATCTTGAAAAGTTTATGTAGGTTTAGAAAAGGGAACGAGCAAGAACAGGAGAAAACCACATTCTAAAGCAATAAATATTGAGACATCACCTCATGAAACCCCCTGGGGCAAATTTCTGTGAGAATATTATGGGAAAACATCACTAACTGCACTATTTTTTTAATATACTCCTGTACCCCTCCCCAGGCATCTCTAAGTTGTCAGTGTAGCAAAACAATTTGGGCTGATTTCCCATAGCTATCCTTACATCTGTACCTGAAAAACTGGTTGTAAACATTAAAAACAAGGTTCCATGAACATGACTCAACAGCCCTAACATAACACCTACAAAGAAATGCTCTCCTCTTCCCTCAAAGAAAACAGAGGGTCAAGTATAGAACTGATATTTTATGGCAAGCCCCCAAAAATGTCTGACAAAACCTCTTCTCACTGAAGATGCTTAGTCACAGTAACAGAATCAAACACTAATTCAAATATCCAAATACAACAAACATGAAATGAGTCCCTGCACAGACTTGTCCCTGGTTACTCTGCATATTATCACAATACAAATGGTGAAAACAATAATAGAGAGGGATATATGGGAATGTCTGATAACCAACACATTTTTTAACAGATTATCATAGAATTTTATGCTTCTTAAGGTTAAGAAAGCTCAATAACAACATTATAGAAGTCAAGGTAATGATAAAGCATGAACATCACAGACTTCAATACTGCATGAATGAGTGTTAATGACAAGACACACACACACAAATCTACTTGTTAGTATAGAAAAGCCTGCATTTCACACAGGAAACAAGTTTGTAGAGTGAAACATGCTTTCTGGTAGAGTGAAAAAAAAAATTTCTGACAGTCCAGCACATTCAGAACTTGTTTGCCCTGTTTTGTCATCACTACCATTTTCATAAAACAGCCTACACTGTATTCATCACAATTACTGCCACGTTATTATATTTGGCTTCTACAAATAAATGTGAGTTGCAAGTAGTTTGTGGTGTCCTACTGATTCCTACCTCCTTTCCTACTTTGGTGCCACTTGATCAATCTGGAAACACTTTCCACAATCTTAAAATGAAATTAAACAGTGTTCACATGCATAGAGAGTACACAATATTATATACTCCACATACTTCCCAATTTTTTTCAGTACCACGAGAGGCCTGAAAAAGTATCAGGATGCCTTCAACATCTGTTAACAGTAGCCCAATCTCTGGAGGTGGGGAAATATGAAAAGGTAAGTTTGTGAGGAAAACTGGAATCTTTTGGTTTTGTTTTAGCTATCAAAAAACCATGAAAACCAGTCAGTTTTGAACAAAATCAGCTGAAGACTTTATTACAAACTGTGTTAGTACAGCCTCTGCAGTCTACTGCCTGAATCCTCAATGCAAATTATAAGTTCCTTTGGACACTACTGGCCTGTGTGAGGGCTATGTCTGTCTCCAGCTTCTCACAAACGTGATGTAAATTCTACATTTTGAAAAGGAAGCACTGTCACCTGCATAGCTGTCAGAGAACATTACAGAAAAGAAGATAAAATTAAGTTTAATGCTAAAGCACCCCAAGCAGATGGCACTGCCTAACTCTAATCGTTAAAAGCTGCAATTTTCACTGTTATTTCTCAATAAAACCAGTCTGTGTAAGCTACATCACAGTACAGGAATGTAAGCTGCATTCGAGCTTTCTTGGTAGTCAGCAAACTTGCTTTGTCCTTGTTCATTAATCTCTCAGAATAAACTGGTATGCAGCACTGTACATTTGTAAAATGCTTTCAGTTTGCTTTATTTTTTTAAGGGTTTTCTATGATGAAATACAGTTAAAATGTGTTCAAATACTGTCTCTGTTATCAACATTCACTGTTGAGCACAGTTATTAGTATTGGTATTCACACATGTTCTACCTGAGGCAATTCAATGTAATAATCAAGTGTAATATTCAGTGAAAGCTGTTTCAAACAAAAGGTAATTCTGAAATGTTCAATGCAGTGGTTAAACATTGCACTTCTACAAAAAAACCAAACAAACACCAAACATAAATAAAGTCTACTTTTTTTTTGGATGTTACACATTTCAAGTCACAAATACATATCATGAAAGACTCTTTACATCCAGTCATCCTCCAGTTCACTGGTAACAGCAACACACTTGAAGTTACCAGCTCAAGATCATCATTGCTTTAAGATGCCACTAAAAGGGAGTCATTTTGCAAATGAAGAATATGAGATTGGTTTATATGAAGCAATTGATCAACAAAAGGTTAAAATCAGTAACATCTTATAGTAAGAAAAATAAATATTTAATTCTCCCACTATTCAGCAAACAAAACATTTAGTAAATACTTTTACCTCTTCTCCGCCCATAGCTCCTGGCTGCATGTAAACACAGAAGAAAATTGTCGGTACAACTGGCATTAGATTTAGCTCCAAAAGCAATGAAAATGTAGCTTCTACCTCTTCTATTTTTCCCCTCCCACCATAAAGAAGGAAAAAACATTCAAAAAGTGCAAGATGAAATTCAAACAACCCAAGACAAGAGAAAAAAATTGAAAGATAATACAGCCAGGGTAAAAAAAAAAAAAAAAGGAACATACCTGCTAGAGCAAGTTTTCTACATAGCAAACGTACTAAAAAAATTAGGCATATCAGACAGTACTATAAAATAATAATTTAGGATTATGGTTTTAAGAGGCAATAAACATAATCAACAGTAATCATAACTGAAAGAATTAATTTTGCATTTTATTAATTAGTTGTGGAGAACATATTTTCCAATTATGTTTCAATTTATACAATTAACCATCTGTAGATACCAAAATCCTATCAAAACAATAAGAACTCAAGAGCCGGTATGTTTAGAGGAACAAAACCAGATTGACAAAATGCCTTTATAGCTACCAGAATTAACACAGCCTTTCAATGACACATGCACCAATGGCAAAAGCCACAATGCTGGACAAGTGCAGGAGCGTATTTCTTGATATAATGGGAAATGCAAAAATCAGCCCTTTTTTATCTGAAATTTTAGAAAGCCAGAAAATAATCTAGAAAACACATTTCTTCTACACAGTCAACTTATCATAAAAGACATCTGTCCCTTCAAACGTGGAAGGTTAGAAATCAGGTAGGGTTTTTCAACAGGAGTGAGGTAATAGGTAACAGAGCCTTGCTTTGTTTCTTTCTTTCTTCATTGTAATACTTTCAGTGTTTCTCCCAATCCCCCTCTTGTTTCCCAAACCAACACAATGCCTTCCAGTCCTGCCTGGCACACCCAGGTGTCCCACATTCCCCTCAGCATTCCCTGTCTGCTTTTCTTTGGCCAGCAATTACACGACAGATTGGTTGTGGCTATCTCAGACCTGCTGACTGCTCCCCTGGCCATCACCTCTGAGCAGCCCTGGGGACACCCAGAGCAAGGCTCACTCCTGCCCCAGCACAGGCACTGGTAGTGACATCTCTTCTACCCACGCAGCTTCTTCAAGCCCTGAAGAAACACAGTCTCAGGCACCACACACCTACACCTTCTTCCTCCACTATCAATGAGGCCACAAAAAGCAAATACATGACTACCTCATTAGGGGGATTAAAAAATTTCAAGGGACATGAAGACAGTCAGAGCTGTGTGAACAGTTATTCAGTCACGGTGAGGTGGTTGGGCAGCCCTGAGAGAGACTCTCTCTGTACTTCTTGCACAGCAGGCAATAGTTGAGAATTAATACTAGAGTTGGCTTTGCAGAAAGAATAAAATCAGTTCTCCTGCTTTCTAGCTACTGCTAAAACCATATTTTATTACTTGTTATGATGGCAAAGAACCATTGTCAGACCTTTTGTAGGAAGTCCTTGTCTTGATGAATGCCCACACCCCCCAAAAAAAGTATATATCAAGAGTAATCAAGAGTATCAAGAGTAATTTATCTGAAAGAGGCTTCTCAAACAGAACGCTACTAATCTAAAAATTAAATAAACACGTACTATTTCAGGTCGAGATGAAAAAGACTCCTGTGCTCCTTTTGAAGAAAGCAAAGTTTTAGATGCTTAATTTAAACTTTTAGGCTCTGAGCACGATCAGTACATGATGGCAGAAATCTACCACAGACTTCTGTAAAGTTAGAACACCCTATTGCTGTTCATCTATTATAAAACTTCCATGTTATGCTGCACTGCAGAATAATACTTTTATCCTATATTTGCACTCACACACATAATCTTTATTTTCATAAAAAAGTTTCCCTGAAGGTATATTTACAATTGCCTGTAACTTCCAGGAGGAAAATACTGCAATCCACTTAAATAGGAAGATAGGCAATTCAGCTTTTCCTGATTTAAAAACACAGCATCACATTGCAACACTCAAAGAAGGTGTTTTAACCATTGTTGTTTATATTTTGCAGATATCTACACACATAACTTGAAAATGATCTCATTTTTATCAAGTATTTATATTAAAATGTTACTTTTTTTTCCAGCAAGCTGACAATTATTCAGCATGGCAATTTCAGAATGTCAATGCACACTTTATCATGCTGTTTACACAGGATGTGAAATAAGAATGTGTCATTTGAAACAAGTTAATAAAAAAATACTCATCTTGTTCACATCTCAAAGTTCAGAGAACAACAGATTTAATAGCAGGAATGGTTCATCAGGTGAATTCCATAATGCCTCCAGTATGAATAAATATTTTCAAAAATAAACAACTTAAAAATTATTCTTGAATGAAGACATCTGGGAGCCAATAAGAAAATTATTGCACTATTACAAACAATGAAATTACCACAGTTATGTATCTGAAGTTACTTTCTCTCTTGGGCAATTCCAACGGAAGACAAAAGAAAAGAGACTGGGAGCTCCAAAATCAGACACCCACCAAAGCAGCTGCTCCCCATACACTGGTTTTGGTGCTAAATATAAACATGATTTTGCACAGAAAATCACCTCTGTAAATGTTTCCAAATCCAACACAAGTGATTCTTTCCTAGGTACTTCCTAGAATATTCCAGTATTAAGGAAAACACAGCTGCTGTAAGAAAGGACGAGTACATTTTCCCACGTAAAAAGTGATATTGTTGCAGGCACTGATCATCTGAGCAGCTCCCAGGAGGCTCAGCACTGTGTTACTGTTTGTCCATCCTTAGCAACTTCCTTCAGCTGTCAGGCAGAAAGTTATGGAACCACCACGTCCCCGGTTCCAAGCCCTCAAATACAAAGGAACAACAGATTCTTTTCTACCCCCTGATAACTCTCCTGAAACTGTTAACTCACCTCATCCCAGAAAATGAGTGTATTTTTGCAAACATGAAACTGCATGATGAAGAACAGAACTCTAAGCCTTCCACAAACAGGCAAAAGAAACTCCTCAAACTTTGTAAGGCAATCAAGTAAACTCAGTACTAATGCTATTGGAACTCCCCAGAGCCTACAGCTAACATTAACATTGCTGCAGTAAATCAAAACTCACTCAAACTAACTGCTCAGATTTTAACTGCATCTCAAAGAAAGTTACATGAAAACTATGAAAAAGAACTTTTCGGGGTTTGTTTTTTTCACTGTTTTATTATAATATGGGATTAGAACTGCACCTTGTATAGGTATCAAATAGTTAGCCGTCCTAGGAAATAATAAATTTGTGAATTCACAAAACATTAACTCAAAAGAACTAGAGATACACTTTTTACATATCATAACTACAAGGGGGTCTGATCAGTTGATTTCAAATTCAGAAATAAGCAACACCATTTATCTGTATTATCACATTTTATAGAAGACAATAGAAAGTACATACTTTCTTCACTGTTGGTATGTACCTTGTTCATGCAATAATATGTCTACAATATCAAAGATGCACACTTCAAAGAAATCTTAAAGACATATCTTAAATTAACTTAAAGCAGCATTAATGCTGTGAAAAAAATGTTAACATTTCCAGATCAGATATTTTGGAGTTAGACTGGCTAAAGGAAAGTTTACTTGACAAGACTGGGAACCTCCTTGATTTATAAGGTACCAGAATCTCATTTCTAGCCTGGAACACTCATTTGTATTCTTGAAACAGTCAGTAGTTCAGAACAATACTTGCTTTAGGACATTATGAGTTATGCAATAATTTTCTAAGATCAGAAAGGAAAATATGTCAAACTTTTTCTTTTGAACAGTGGGTCTCAAGTTCTTAGAGATCTGGAAGTTTACAAGTGAATTAAAATACCAGTGAAAATGAATTCATGAACTGAGGGAAGGGGATAGAATCAACTATAATTATGCAACGTGTCTTTGCCCAACAGAGAGGATCATATAAATTAACTGTAAAGAGGACTGACACTCATATATGAGAGGTTCAGAAGGGGGTTCTCAATTTCCACTGATAGATGGGCTGGATGTGCAGATGGGTGCTACAATAACTTGGTGGTATTAGCCTCAACAGTCCCTTCTGGTTCATTTTTTTCCCAGTGCTAGCAATGCAAGCGTTCCACCCACCAATCTCCCTGATCACATATGCTCACATACATACTACAGCTGAATCCCAGCATTGGAAAAACACCCTCTACACATCAGCTGTATGCACTAAAGTGCCACACACTGGACCTCAAACACTTGATCAAACAGGTGAACTGCACTGGACACTCAAAACCAGCTTCGGTGTTCCTTTCTTAGGCATATGAGCAGCCAAGCAACTGTGCAGGACAGAAGGCTTATCTATTTTTATCTCTTTCTTTTAGTTAAAAAATCCATTAACAATAAACCTCACATTTTTAACAGTCAGGCTGTTCCATCTCTTCTAGCATCATATATAATGCTTGTGGAATAGCCTGGAAAATCTTAAATTCTGAGGAAACAGATGGCACTAACCCACAATAGAGAGGATCACAAAGATGAAAAGAAAGCACATTGGTGAGGCTGTGAGGCAGGAAAAGTGGTGAGGAAAACAAACAAACAAGAAGGTATCGAGAGCTATAAAGTTGGATTAAAGAGATGATCTAAGAAATCTTCCTCTGCTAGAAAAAGCCTTTAGCAGTCACTGATAAGAGACACTGCCTTCAGTAACAGTCAAATCAGAGCTCTGGAAGTGCAGATGCTAATATAAAAAACTGAAGGGAAGAAAGAAGAAAAAGCATGTTGTACTGCTCCTTGGCTTCCTTCCCCATATTTTTTTTAAATTAAATAGGTATAAAAGGGACTTGGAGATATCAGCGAGTCCAGCTCACAGCCTCTAAGGCAGCATCAATTCTCTTTATACAGCTGGTTCTGAAAAACTTAACAAGGTTATGTGTAAAGTGGCAGTTCACACACTCTGGGACTCCTATGAACCCTGCTGCCTTTGCTACGTCACACTTTATATCATTCATTTTTTCCTTCCAGTTATATTAACTCTGGTCTCGTCATGACTAAATTAGGTTTAGTTTTGCAAACTTTGTAAGGTCTCTCAGTGTTTTTTTATTCCTTTCCATTATTCTTTATATGCCAATAAGCTGGTAACACATTAATAACCCCACCTGGCAATTGGGCTAAACAGTTCAGCATGTTCCTAAAGACAAGTACAAACTATTAGAAGAGATTGATGCCTCTTGAAATTCAGTCACACATTTTCCCAGAACACTATCACGGCAAAAACCCCAAGCTTTTATTAGCTGTTAAACTGCCAACCCAAGATCTTGCAGGACAAAAATAATTCAACAAACCTTCTATTTGGAGCAGTTATTTTCAAGCTATAACAGTAGCACTGGCAAGAAGTTCAAATGTAAAACGCCACTTCAGCAACTTTTTTATATCGAAACACTTTATGTGTTTGAAAGTAACACATCAGAATACAGGAAGAGCCGAGTACAACAGCTCTTAAGGAGACAAGGCAATTTTAAAACCAAAAGAAACATGAAAATAAATAAAAAAAACCCTGAAATCAATTTGTTGTCATTACATTTCCTGTCACAGCGTGACAGCTTCCTCACATAATTATTATCTGTATTAATGAAACAAAACCAAAATCTCAACATGGACATCTAAAAAGATGGCCCAAACCCTTACCTTAATGTATTTTTCAAATTGTTTTATTCTGAACAGACAGAACTAATTACATTAACGAAAAGAAGAAATGACAGTTGGATGGAGAACAAACAGTACCAGACCCCGCAGATGACACAGTTTCATATGAGACAAGAATGAACAGTGGAAGTAACATAGAACATCTGAAGCCCAACATCACTGAAAAGTCACTGCACAGATGAGCTTTAGGAAAAACAAAAGTCCAGCATTTCACAAAGCGCTTTCTCATTTGCTCATTTAACTACCTTTAAACTTATTTTATGGAATATAATTTGGGATCCCAGCAAAACAGTTCAGTTCTTCCTTAGAAAGGTCTCACATCCTTGTTTATTCCCATCTCCCTTTTTCATCTGCCATACTTCTCTCTGCCTAAAGTTTATTGTTGGCTTTCTGAAGTTCACAAGAAGCATTAAAGATAGTTCACCACCTACCACGTAGGTGACTATGTATTCATGCTAATCACTTAGTCCTATTCACACAGCTAATTTAAAAGAAGCACATTCTCCTGAGAAGCACTCAAGAGAAAGTCCAACTGCTTCCAAACAGAAGCACTGGCTGCAGAAACACATGGCTGCAAATGGCAGTGAACAATAACAAGGGAAGGGATGAAGGACACCTTTGAGGTAATTTTGCCAAAGCAAAATAATTTCTTTTCAGGCTTTGCCTAGTATTTTAAGCATAGCTTTTACCTGGTACTTCAAACATCTAATAAAATTATCAGTCATAGGTGCTGTAGATGAAAGTTTTTTAAAATTCTTCTACTGTTTAGCTCAGTATGAATGATATGATTAAAAAGTTCAATAACTGATGTCACTAATTGATTAAAAACACTATTTCAATTAAAGAAATTTCAATTAGATCTGGTACAGACAGAATCTATACATTTTTCCCTCTGAACAATGTTTCAAATAGAAATATTTGCATCTTCCTTTTTGTTTAAATGCTCTTTAGGATTATGCACAGACCTCTCTGCATATTTGAGCATTGCATTCCTCAACAGAAGTCTAATTCTGAACTTCAAGAGCATTTATAATATAAACACGTTTATACATATGTGCAACTGTGTATGTACATGAGCATAATGCCATTAATGGCAAGAAGAGATTCATATAATTATGAATATATATTATTTAAAAGCAATCTCTTCTACCCCACCACTTTCATTATTTCAGAACTCAGTGCTTTGAGATGATGATGATTTACAGCTTTGCACAATGATGAACAAAATGGTGGTAGTATGCTCCACACTGTGCTGCCAACTAAGCAAGTAACACCTTCCCTCAAACCAAACAATCCCCTTCAACATTCACAGACAGCAGCCCAAGACAGTCAGGCAAGAAAACCCCAAGTTTCAAAAGGCTGGAATCAGTAAGTAGTAACAGCTCCAGTGCAGTTGAAAGTGCTGCCACAGAGGATGAGAAGGATCTAGAGATGAACACCCCTCAGAGCTTCCCCTCTCCCTACAGCATGTGAAGTTTTGCATTGCTGTTGGCATGAGCATATGCTGTCTTCCAACTTCAAAAGCCTGTGTACACTGTCAGTGTGAAATTGAGCTTTGAGTAATAAATCTTAAAGATTATTACTGTGTCTTCACAGGAAAAGAGAAAAATGCTTATGTAGCAATGACTATAAATAGAATGTGAAGGTTGGATTTGCAGTTTCAGCAGACAGTGTTTGGTTTCACAGAAATTATACACAGATTTGACAAGTATTATGATTTAAAGATGTTACATAAGTTCTCAAAATTGTTCCAAAAATTACTGTTATGAAATATCTTTAGGCAATTCTTATTTTACTTATTTTTTTTTTTAACCCAAATCACAACCATTCCAGCACAGAAAGGAGTATTTCTTCTTGAGATAACTTTCCTTAGTATATTTCCCCATGACAAAGGTAATGGATGACATGGGAATTACATAGTTCTAAATTTCTCAGTTTTAGCTGCATACAAAAGAGGATTTCAATCACAGAAAGTAATTTTTAAGCTTATGTACTTAAATATTTGCTTTTATTCTCAGCTCTTCAAAGATTTAAGAGCAAAACCCAACAGGTTTCATAGTACAATAATTCTAGCTTCTGGGTTCTCAGTAATGACCAAAAATGGTGTGGCCTCACCTAGTAAAGAAAGGGAAGATAAATATATGGAAACTTATTCAGACTTTTGATTTGTGCTGAATTTAATTTTGCATACATTACACATTTATGATTCTAGACTTATGCAAGTCTGTACACAGTTAATATTTCAATACTTTAAACAGTGGAAATGCACAAATATATTTAGTTTAGGTCCCTCAGCCAGCTCTACTGCTATTTTAACCATACACCAGGACTACTACAAAGGATCATTGTTTTTCACAAACTATTATATTTTATAGATGCTGTAAAAATTTCAAAGAAATCAGACAGGAAGAAATATTTCTTTAATATTATTTCCATTAAAAAGAAATCAGAATAAAATACATCATTCATTTAGGATAAAAGTGAGTTGTCCCAAAACAGGATAACATTTTGTATCAGTTTTTCATTCTTGTCTTTCAAAAATTTCTGTAAGACTTCTTAAGAAATACTACTATAGATTTCATAGTAACTGTTGATTTTTAAAAGTAACTCAAAATTCAGTAATATCCCATCTTCACAAGCATATTACTATTGCAATCAGCTTAATGCAATGCCCACGTTAGAACAACAAATTCATGTCAAACAGCCAACAGCTGTACTGTGTAGAACTTATTTACACACACACACCCCGACATGAACAGCTGCCTCTTTTAATAAAGTCTTTAATTAAACAGTGTTTCTCCTATTTTCACAATCAAAATTACTTGATTTCCCATAATTTCATGTGCCCATAACAAAATGGGGCACACATGCTAACTATGACAACTGAAACTCTTCAAAATATCACCTCATCATTAACAGTGTAAAACTAAGAACACAAAGTCCTATGGGTTCCAAAAGCTGGCCTTTACAGCCAAATGTTAAACACCTTGCATCTTGTCTATCAAAAATTTTCAGTTCTTCACATCTAGAAACTATTCTTTGGTTGGTACTACACACACAAAAAAAATGCAGTTCTCAACTATACACAGTCTAACTTAAATTGACAGTGCAAAGGTAAAAAATTCTCACAGAAGTTCATATGTTAATCCTAACACGTCTAATACAACACTGTAAGCAAAAATGGACTTTTCAAAATAGCATTTCATAGGATTAGACAGACAAATACTATGCTTAGATTTGCATAGTTCGGTTCTATGTTATGCTGGTGGTGCTTAACACCCCACCTCCCAAATTCCCCACACATGAGCTATCTTCCAGATCCACGCTGGCAGGTTTTTTGAATGCATATGTTCATGACTAGACTTTTAATTTTGCTTTTATTTCCTGACACAAACAAAAGCAATAATCTCTCAGTGAAGTGCAGTTTTTCCTCATTATTTAGATGTGTAAACATTCTCTCCATTCCTGTCTACATAATTGAAACCAACTGAGCAAACTCCATCAGTCAATGTAATTGTATGCAAAACTTGTAACAGCTCATCCCAACAGGAAGAAATATGTCTGGAGAGATACCAGAAAATAAAGTTACAGATTTAATACACACACCCACAAAAGAGGAAACAAGAGAGACTGTTTTGTAATATTCTCTATAGCAGGCATTATGAAGCTTCCAGTGAAACACAAAGTCATTATAAAGCTAACATAAAGAACCCCCAATTCTACTAATGTGATTTCATTTCTGACTGATTTTCAGAACATTTTTAGAATGTGCACAAACTTCTATGCAAATTTGCTATGATATATTTGTCTGGCTGTGCACCTACATACAGAATAAATGTAAGAAATAATATTCAACATGACAATACAAATCACTAGACATTAACTACTTACTATTAAGAGCCATAATATTGTCTGTTCCTGGATGATGGAAATTTATTCCCATACGCCCTGCAATGTAAGCAAAAGCTATTTTCAGTGTTTTTATTTGAAAACTGAACTAATTAATTAACATGAAAAATTTCTAAAGGTTGGGGTAGGTGAATCTTCCATCTATTGAAGACAACTTTCCAAGAATACACATTTACAATACTTAATACCACAGCACCCTTAGTGTTACGTACTTAAAATACTCAAAATCACAAAATAAACAGTGAAATAGTTCTTTTTAATACATTCCTTTGCTTTGCACTAAGAAAGTATTATGCTTACCCTTTCAAAATAAGGCCTCAAGTTCAAGTTTGCTGCAGTTATGACATTTACAGTTGGCTTCCAATAACAAGTACAGCATTACAATACTCCACTTAGTTTGTAAAAATTAATCACTATTTTTCATACTAACTGTAGCACCAGAAGCTCTCAAGTTAACAGGTAGCTGGAGGGAAAGTTCTTACCCTGGTTTTATATTCTTCCCTAAGAATCTTCTATCTACTATTTGAGATATGACACTGGGTTGGAGGGAATGTTGTTCTCATGCAGTGCATTCATATGTACTTTGAGAAATATATATCTTGACCCAAAGGAGACTTAGCCCAGAGAAATCTACTTCTACTGTCAAAGCAAGAAATGAGCCAACAGAAGCAATGCTGCTCAGATTAGTTTTAGATACTGTTTAACTGAGCTGAAGTATTAAAAACTTATCCTGAAGAAAATTTGTAACGGGACTTTCTTAATTAAATACACAAAACAATTTGAAAGCTGTAACTGATATTAGTTGTTGCTTGGAAAAAGACATAAAAGGATAATTAGAGCCGTAAAAAAAGTTATTTCAATTGAGTAAGGTAAGGTAAACAAACTTCATGTATATAATGTCAATCCATTTCATATGCTTCCATATCTCTGTGTCTGTGGTTAAGTTCGGGAGCTAAGGAAGGAGGCACTTCACATTTCTTCACATGGGCACTCAAATATGGGAGCTCAGGACCCACTCACTATACTGAAGAACCAGTATAATGGTTATGTCCCTCTACTTCTGCAAACCCAGGTTTTAACACATAAACTCTGGCAAAGCAGAACTAAAGCAAATCCTTTCCAACATTTTTAGTTCCTATTGATAGTTAAGGCCTCCATATTTGCAGTCACAGAGACTGCTGTGCTGTCATGAATATTCTTGCTGAACAGATGTGGCATGAAGTTTCAGTACACTTCTGAAACTAAGTCATATGGAGTTTAAAAAAAAAGCAAATAAGTCTTTTCTTCACATTATAGTTTTTCCTTCTTTTAGAAAAAAAGTGTTGCCACAATAAGGCTATCAAGCCAACAGCACCTCCAGAAAGAAGTGGGGGCAGAAGGTAAAAAGAATATCCATTTTTACTTTCCAACTCCTTGAGCAAAGCTTCTTAAAGAGATGATCTTCATTAACTACTGCACATTTCCTAATTACAGACATAATTCTCCTATACATATTTTCACATTAATCTGGCATTGCAGAAATACCAAAGCTGCTACTATTTCAGTTAGTATAACCTTTGCTAAAATATTTCAGAAATCTTGCCAGATGGACATTAATTCCCTTTTCCTCAATAGTGTATTAATGAGTGTGAGGTTACAGGTATTACTTGCAAAGAGAAAAGGTGTATATACTAATCTGTACTTTCAAATTAATACTAGGAATAGCAAAAAAAAAGGAAACTATTATGGAAAAAATACAGTCAAATTTGAATGCATGAGACTTGGATGGGCCCTTCTATCTTCCTTTGCTGAAGCTGAAATTCTGCTGTTTGACCAGCTTCAGAAATAGAATCCTATCTGTGACATCTGGGCTTGTTTTTTTCCTCCCTCCAGGCTGTCACTGGACCAGGTGCTGCTTGTGTGACATTTTGTCACCTGCCCTTGGCCTGCTATTTTTAAACAGTTCTTGTCAGCTATCTTTTAAGAGGAGCAGAAAATACAGAGCAGCACAAGCAGAAGGACATGTTCTCACACTGAGCTAAGCCACTGTGCAGGATAATTCTGTGCATCTTCAGAGGTCCCCAGCACTGCTCTATAGGAACAGATTAATGGAATCCTTTCAAAACACACCTGTATTAAAAGCATTCAAAAGAGACTAGTAATGCACTAATCATAAGACCATTAATCACCAATAACTATACAGCCTTTCATATTAGCTATAGCATTTGAAAATCTTGTTGCTTGAAGTAAATTATTCAATTGAAAAAAGAGGCCATATGCAGATTACAAAACTGCATAATTATCTCAGGAAACTTTTTTTTTTATTTTTAAGGTGCAATGTAGAACTGTGAAATATAATTAAGAATATGTACTTTCAAAGACATATTTAGTTAAACATATAAATGAGTACTGGAAAACAACCAATTTTAAGAAAAACATATGTATGTTACCTGGACCTTTATGAAGAAGTTCATATTTTTAATTATAGTTTTAAAACTAAATCTCTAGATAATAAAGGTTTACTTTTCAAGATTATTAAGCACATTAAGAAGAAACGCAGAGAAGACAGAGCACAGAAGTTATGGATTCCAGCAGTTCACTGAAATCATAAATAGAAACCCTTCCAGTAACAACATCCCCAGTGCTTGTATTCAGTGTCCATCTGCCATTTTCAGTTTGCCTATCTTGGTTTCATAACTATTTACTGAGTATATTTTCAATTATGTGCTTTTATAACATACACTTATAGTGCTGCAGTTAGGGTGCAAAATTAACCACTCTTTTACATCTTTTTAGTTCCTAATTTAAAAATAAAAAATAATCCACTTGTATACCGCTTGCTCTTTAAACATTTCAGAGAAAAAAATGAAGGTTTAATGATACCTGTATAGTCCAGGCTGCACTTTTGCTTATTTTATGTCATTAAATTTCTTAAATTATCTCTCCTAACAACATTTGGAGAGACTTTTCTGGCTGGACTGCCTGAGTGCTCTGCTGCATGTGCCATATAATGCTTGTCATGGCAGAGAGCCCAATTCCTTTTCAGAGCTCATCAAATCTGTGCATCTTCTTTTCTGTATTTTATTTTACATATTACTCTGTTCTTTGTAGAAGAGTATAATGATCTTGCATCAATTCTGACATCTTTCCAACAACTAAAGGAAGTATACCCTTTCCACACATTTTTATGAATCTCTTTATTAAATCTTTCACAAACAAACTATGTTTTTAATTGCCTAGATAATTTGAAGTTACATGATCAGTTTTGAGACATAATGTTGTTCCAGAAACAACAAAGCTAGGTATCAGACACAGTTTTACCACTATTTCATTTTCTTTTTTATTCATTCTCTCTTTGTAAGTCCTTTATGACTTTTTGAACTTGTGAAACCCTAATCAGCTCCTGGACATGAACACTTACTCAGTAGGATTTTTAAGATTACAGTTACTTTTCTCAGTAAAGTACTTTTCAAATTACCATCAACATTCCAAGAAACAGTGTTCATTGGTTATATATTGAGTAAAACTTCTTGCACTATTATACTTCATGACTTTTACCAAGACTGATCACTTTTACCAATTCAGCAATTGGTATTTGGCACAAGATTTGCTAGAAAATAGCAAAATAGCTTGCTTTTGACCTGTCCTGAACTTTCTGCGAATGAGAACTTCCTCGGAATGAGAACTTCCTCTAACACAGTTCTTAAGACCACTGTTGATATCAATTACAAGTTAGGATTACATAATTCAGTGGCAAGGTCAAATGAAATCAGCAACAGGACTAGTTCTGCTAAATTTCCTTAGTAATAATCCCTCCTTTATCTTCCTTATATTCTCTAGCAAACTATTTCCAACAAAAGGCACTAAAAACTAGCTATAGTTACTTGGATGGGTAGGTAGCAGGTGGGTAGAGCAAATTTTAGAAACAGAAGAGTGGAAAAATCAAAGCAAGACCAGAGTATTACCTCAAACATCTGAAACAAGATTATCCTTTTGACTCACGTGTATTCAGGAGTCCAGTTTATGGCACAACCTACAGCTCCACACACACTCACACACAGCCCCACCAGCTCAGCCATGGGTCTCTACTCCATGACTCACAAATGGCCACAAAGCAAGAGGCATGTGTGTGAATATGTAAGAATCATAAGAATCTCTACCTGAGTAGACCTCAGAACATTCTCTCTCCTTTTCCCCCCAAATTAAAGACACCTGAAACTGATGCCAGACTAACTCAAAATACATACCCAAGATAATTTCAAAACCAAGAACTTTGGGAGCAAGGGTCTGTGTAAAGAATTATAAAAAATAAAGGAAGTTTGTTGGGTTTATTTCCCTCACCCTTTTTTTATGCCTACCTGCCATTTGTTCACACCCATAATTTAAACACCTACACTTCCAGATCTTAAAAAAAAAAATTAAAATATTGAGCAGAACAAAAGTACTATTGTTTGCCAGAAGAGGAATATGAAGAACTATTACTGTGTTCACATGTATATATTTCTACTGTGCAAAAACACATTGTGGCAATGTGAAGTGTATAATTATCAGCTATGAATATCAGTAACAAAGCTTGCCAATTCTAACTTCTTCCTGTCACTGACTAAGCATATATCCTATCAGTAGGGAAAGCAAATATATATATATATATATATATATAAAACAAAACAAAATATACATTACAATGAAATGCAGTCCTCATAAGTTAATTACATTGCTCCAATAAAACGCAAGGGGGTCTTGCATATATTTAAGTATAATAAACATTTTCAGCTTGAAAACAGCTATATTTTCAAAATATTATTACTTTAAAAGCAAGACTAGATGAACATAAAGATATATTTGGCTTAACTTATAAGCAGTAGACAAGTACATGTACACATACCCATTCTACACGAAGCTCTAGAAGTGTATTCATAAGAGCAATATTGGTGTTTTTATTGGCAAGTTGGGGGGAATAAAATAAAACAATATGAAAGCAGACTTTTCCATTAGCAACCTATGCTAAAATACACAAAACCCTCAGAACAGCAGAAAAGTGGGAAAGAAAAAAAGAAAAA